AAAACAGCATTTTACACATATCAATTTAAGCAAGAAAGGAACTTTAAAGTGGTAATCCGGAACATCTATCATACCGTTAATTTAATAGAATTAACGGAAGAAATTGCCGAAAAAGGCACATAGTAACCGGCATCTATAACATCAAACATCGCGCAACGAAGATACCGTTTCCGATGTTTTATGTAAATTTAAAACCGCAAGAAAACAATAAATCAATTTACGACATATTGTTTCTGCAAAACATAAAAGTACAAGTTGAATCACCTCACACTAAACGAGAAATTGTACAGTGTTTGAGATGTCAAAAATATGGTCATACAAAAACATACTGTAACAGACAACCACGGTGCGTCAAATGTGGAAATAATCATCTGACATTGCTATGCACCAAAACCAAAGAAATCGCAGCCACATGCGCTCTCTGCAAAAGTAATCATCCTGCAAGCTACAAGAGATGCACAGTCTATAAGGAAACTCAAAAAAGAAAATTTCCAACACTTAGACCAAATAAGAAACAGATAGACAAATAATTTCCAGTAATATCAACAACTCTAGACCAAATATCACATTCGCACAGGCGGTCAAGACATCAAACCAGCAAATACAAGTTGTAACTAATCCACAGACGCAACAAGCAACGTCACAACAGAATTATATCAACCTAGAACTCATGATAAGCAAACTTATGGAGCGCATGGACACTATGCTTAATCTCCTTACTACTCTTGTTTCAAAGATAAAAATATAAGATAAACTCTCAAAATTGCATCTTGGAATACAAACGGTCTGAATCAACACATTCAAGAAGTAAAAGCATTTATCTAGAACCAAGACCTAGACATACTCTTGTAAGCGATAACGAGCGTTTCGAAAAGTTTGAGCGATAGACGGCGCTTTAGAAACAGAGCGCATATAGAGATGTATTAAGACTACGTATTTGGAGCGAAAGAAGGGAGTCCGCTGCCAACACTGACGAAGTGAAGTCGAATAGCTTGTACTGGAAGACTTATACCACAAAATATAATATTATCCTGACAAATTAGTTATCTTTATTAAGTATTGATTCCAAAGTAATTCACTACACATTCTCATACACTATACATTCTCATACACTCTTAATATCTAAAACACACTTTACTAAAAAAAGCTACTTCAAAATGCCACAATACTCCATCTATGAAACAAACTACCCTGATAGAACTGCACACGGAGGTACTGCAATCATCATTAAAAACTCTGTCAAACACTACAAACTATCAAAATTTGAGCAAGCACACATACAAGCTACCAGCATTGTGGTAGACGATTGGACAGGACCCATCATATCGGGAATTTACTGCCCTCCAAAACACAACATAAAAGAATAACAATTTACAGCACTCTTCGATACACTAGGTGCCCGATTCATAGCAGGGGGAGACTACAAAGTCAAAAACCTACAATGGGGCTCTCGACTCACAACTACCAAAGGAAGAGAGCTTCTCAGAGCAATAAGAGCCAAAAATTTAAACTATCTCTCTACCGAACAACCTACCTACTGGCCAACCAACAGACGTAAAGTTCCAGATGTCATCGACAGAAGTGTGACGCAATCACGCAGAAGTGTGACCAAAGGAATAGCAGAGAATTACTTAAGAATCGACTCGTGCCTAGATCTTTCCTCGGACCATTCTCCCATCATTGTAACACTAAGTTCACAAGTCACACAAAAACAAATGCCAACTTTACTCTGCAACAAAAACACAGACTGGAAATACCTTAAAAAGCAACTGGAAAGTAAGTTATTACTAAACATTCGCTTAAAAACAAAAGAAGACTTAGACACAGCGGTAGAACTTTTAATGCCTTTATCCAAGACGCTGCTTGGAGCGCAACTTCAACCAAAAGCACCTTCAATAAACGCCTGGGCTGTCCAATTAGTGTCAAGAAAGTGATAGCTGAAAAACGAAAAATCAGGAAAAAATGACAACTGACCCGTGATCCTAAGATTAAAACACTACTAAATAAAAAAGCCAAAGACCTCAAAAACTTCCTCAACAAACTAAAAAACGAATCAATTCAAAACTATCTAGAAAACCTAACAGCTACTTGTTCGAGGTCATGTAATGTAATGTAATTAGCACAATTTTGATATTGAATAGGTTGCTTTATTTCTTAGACAATGTACAAGAGACGCGTGTACTTTCCTGTATGACCTACAGTCTTACGTGTAGCGAAGCGGGCAGGGTTATAAAAAACAATAGAAAGATGCCAAGCATAAACAAATGAAAGAAGCGTGTGAATAAAAACATGCCTAAGGAAGCGGGAACTTTGAACGGAACGTATATTTTAACACTACTGAAACTACTGATTATAGCTTATGGAAAGCCATCAAACGTCTCAAGCAATTAAAACAACATGACCACCTATACGCAAAAACGATAGCAGCTGGGCAAGAAACGACAAAGACAAAGCTGCAACATTTGCAACATTTGTAAAAGGTCCACTTCCAACCCCTCGCCGCAGAAATTACATCAGTAAAAAAAGAATTCATTCACCAATATTTGGAACTATCATGCCAATCGATTTATGTGAACTTGGCACCCGACTTTTAATAAATAAAGTTTTCAATATGTAAAATAATAGTACTTTGTTTGTAGTTGTTTGTAGTAAATAGTTTGTAGTTGGTTGTAGTAATTATATATTTAAACTTTAAGATTTTTTAAATCCGCTTATTCCACGTGATTCAAAATCATTTGTAGTTGTTTGTAATTTTTTTTGTAGTTGAATAGTTTAAAAGTTATAACATATTTGCAATTAAATAATGTAACTTTCAATTTTGAAGACACGCGACAATAGCACAAGTACACCGAATAGTAAATAAAATATATCATGATCTTGATGAAAAGCGCTTCTGTTCTGCAGTTTTTCTAGACATTGCACAAGCCTTCGACAGGATATGGCACACCGGTCTACTATACAAAATAAAACAAAAACTCCCTCCACCATTCTATTTAATATTAAAATTGTACCTAAGTGACAGGTACTTCCAAGTCAAATTTCAAGAAGAATTAACACCTCTTCTTCCGATCAACGTAGAGGTTCCACAAGGAAGTGTCCTTAGCCCAGTTCTATACTACTATACACATCCGACCTTCCTACCTCGGAAAACTGTATGGTAGTAACTTTCGCGGACGACACCGCCGTCCTAGCATCGCACGCAAATGCAACAATAGCGTCCCAAAGATTGCAAGCCAGTATAAACAAGATAATAAAATGGCTCAAAACATGGAGAATAAAGGTCAATGAAACTAAATCGACGCACGTAACATTTACGACACGCAGAAAAACATGCCCAATCATCACATTAAGCAACACCACCATACCACAGGCAGAAGACGCCAAATACTTAGGAATGTATCTGGACCGCAGACTAACCTGGAAGAAACATATACAGATGAAACGGAGACAA